GCAAAATCTTCTTCTAACTTGTTTTTGTTATTTTTTTGGCCTTATAGTTTTATTTGGGTAAAATGAGGATTCGGAAGAACACGAAGCTGTCATCGTTGCTTTTAGCGACTGCTGGTTACGGCGGAGATAGACCGGAGACTTATATGTGTCACTTTAACCAATCTCCATGGGATGTGATTCCGGTCACTTCTTCCGTCGACGGCGATGGTTCCTCCGAGTTACCTAACCTACTCGATTCGTCGTGGTTCCTTCCTTCTCCTTCGTCTTCTCCTCCGCCTCTCATTCACCAGGTAATCCGATTATTACCAATACACGATTCCATTACCATCAATGCCTCGACCATTTCTGTTATTATTAGGGTTTCGTCTTTTTTTTTGTTTCTTTTCTGTTCGGGAAACTTGAAAGAACCCTAAAATTCTGGATTTTGGGATCTTGGGTCGTTTAGTTGATCGATTAGGGTTAATGGGTCGTGATTATTTTGCTTCTTTGAATCACATTTCGTCTCTCTGGCCTCGATTATTCTTTTTTATTGTTATTACAAAATGTCTCCATTTTTGTTTTCGTTAACTCAGTTCGATGGAGAAGAAGATAATAGCTTGAATAGGAATCTGAGCTTGGGGAATTCTAATGGCGTTGCTCAAAGGTAATAACAATTCTTCACTCTAATTGCTTCCTCTTTCTCGATTATTGTCTGCTTCCTTCGTATTTCTTTTTAGGGTTTTGCTCGTAGTTTTTGATAATCGGGTAATTTAATTTCGCCCGAATCGGAATCGGATTCGAAATGTCGGGCGACCCGGTTACGATTTTTCTTTTTCTTTATTTTTTGTTTAATAATTCTTCTTCTATCGTTTAGATTGACCAGCTCCGTTGTGTCCGTCGAGGGACTTAATCTCATTGCGGCGGAGGATTACGACAGATCGCCGGACGTTGATGAACCAATGGATCGGAGCGATAACAGTGGCAAGAAATCCGAACCCGTGGCGACTAATTCGCCGGTGAAAACCTCCGGCGACGAAGAGGAAATGGCTGTCTCAATGCCGGCGCCGCCTAAACGCGGAAGGCCACGTGGCACTGGCAAGAAAGCTCCGGCCTTTACCGCCGCATCGACGAATCCGTACGAGTTTTACTATTACTCTGGTTTCGGACCACGGTGGGGGAGAAAACGAGGCGGCTCCGGCGACGGCGACGGCGACGGCGAGAATATGGTTGTGTGTGAGGATGATAATAACAATGTGAGCAAAAAGAGTAGCAGCAGTAGTGATGATAAAACGGCGTCGTTTGGAGATGGGAGTAGTAGTGTTGATGGGTTTGATTATGTGGAAGAGGGTAATAGTAATGAGTTAGTGGAAGATCAAGAAAGCGATCATGG